AGTTAATTCAAACTAACAGCCGTTAGTTCGAATTAACTTTCATAGCGTCTATACATGCAAACCGCTAGTTCGAACTTAATTTGAACTAGCGGAGTGCTTAATTCGAACTAGGTAAACCTCATTCTATGAGGACTAACGCCTAGTTCAAATTAAGTTAGTTCGAATTAGTGCTGTAGTCTGGTGTAACTGAAACAAAAACAGGACTATGTAGCCCTTTAAAGACTAACAAGATGGTTTATTAGGTGATGAGCTTTCGTGGGTCAGACCTACTTCCTCATATCAAATTGTGGAAGAAAATTGGCACAACCATATATACCAAAGGATACAATCAAAAAAATGAACACATATGAAAAGGACAAATCAAATTTCAGAACAGAAGGGGGATGCGGGGGAAGGTAAATGTCTGTGAGCTAATGGTATTAGAGGTGATAATTGGAGAAGCTATTTTTGTAATGGGTAAGATAGCTAGGGTCTTTGTTGAGACCCACGTGTAGAGTATCGAATTTTAGCATGAATGACAGTTCAGAGGATTCCCTTTCAAGTGCAGATTTAAAGGGCTTCTGAAGCAGGATGCAGGTAATTAAGTCGTTAAGACAGTGTCCTTTCTGGTTGAAATGGCAAGAAACTGAAGCTGAGAGAAATGTAGCCGTGTTAGTCTGGTATAGCTGAAACAAAACAGAAATGTACTTATTAAAGCCAATTATCAAACAAACTAGGTGTAACCATTTGAGAGTGATTGTTTTATTACAAAATAGTCAGGGAGAAAGTTATAAGACTATTAAAAACATTGAAAAAGTTCTTATACATCACTAGAACAAAACCAAGCGAGTACATTATGATAAGATTTTGACCAATCCACTACGTTACAAAATCACCTGCCAATATTTGACAAAATCCTTGGTTTGAATACAGACATCAGTATGGAACATCCATGCAGGCACAATGGTATGGTGACATTATTGTCATGATCAATTAGACATCACTGGAAGCAGAAGAAAGTGGCTTTATTTCACGTGAAAGAACTTTGGGAGATCTAGTAAACAAAAGA